ATTCTGTTGCTTAGCAACTGCATGTTAAACTTAATCTTATGTAAGACCCTGAAAGTTCTGCTGTATGCAACAGTGTCATAACAAAGGTTTACATTGGACCACTTTAACTGAGTTCTAGCTATGTCTGAGTTAAGTCAAGGCATTTTTTTTCATTCAGCTGTATTGGAAGTGATTTTGTTGTGGTCTATGCACAAAGTGTTTTAAGTGCCTGGTTAATTCTGCAGATGCATGTAAATTAGAGGTATTTTTTCAGAATATTAAGATGTATAACAGGAGTCTCCAACCTGGTCCTTAGGAACCACAGTCCAATTAGTCTTTTAGGGTCCCCTGAATTGCCTCTTTGTTAAATACTGGAAATACGTGGAAGTTATGAATCAATTAAACAAGTGTTTTTTTTTTCAGTTAAGGAGCTGGTCCATGAGGGTTGAAGGATATACAGATTTTTGTTCCAAATGATCTCTAAATACTTAATTGAACACATCGCCTGCTAAATTGACCACAGTTAAATTGTACTGGGCCTTTAGGAATTGATGTAGGGATTACCCTATTAAACATGCTGCATTCAAGGTCCTGCAGGACCAGGGCTAGAGACAGGTCTGTTGTAACTGACTTCATGCTCTATGCAAATTTGGGACAAGGAAGAAACACTGGTTTTCAAGGCTTTTTCAAGCTGCCTTCTTCTTTCTCTGATGATAAGTTATCCCCAAGTTTCTCCCAAGTCTGGAATTTTGGGAATGAAATGTAAGGTTTTGATTCTAGTAATGACATCCACGCCAATATACAGACAACACAAGGCTATAATTGTAGATATAAGAAATACATGAAATTTATGGTTATGGTTTTGGCAAAGCTATGTTTTCAAATTTAGCAGTAAGATTAATAGCATTTGGGATTAAACTTCTAGAAAGGGCTGTTAAGAAAAAGCGGTAGCTAATGTACAGAATAGATGAGAGAATATGAAATTACTTAATTACAAATAGCTAGACTGACCGAGTTCTCTGGTCTGCCTCTGAGAGTGATCTGTTCTGTTACCGTGCACTAGGAAAAGGGCAGGCCTTGGAACTGGGAAGTGTGCAGAGAGGACTGTCTACCACCTTAGCTGAGTGGTGTCAGATTGCACAGCTGTGTTACTGTGTTCTGCAGACAAGTACAGGTTGAAAATGTATGATGATGATTGATGCTATCATTTTTTTTGCTAAATGTGCATAGCTTTAATTTAAGGAATTGATTATTTTTGATAGTAAAGAAAGCCTTATACATCACAAAGAATTAATGAACAGGAATTTAAAAAATATAAAGATTGAAATTCCTTGAATTTGATTTACAATAGGATACCTAAATTATGGATATTACGACAGCAATCCTACTTCTTCTCACAGTCACCATCCACAGACTCCCACACCTGACACTCTCTAGTGAGGATACAATGTCATGGCATTTGTAATGCTTGTGTGAATTCCATATCATTAAACTAAAAAAGTGACACTTGCAGGGCAGTGGAACTTGAAGGCTTTTGGAATGAGTCATTCTTGTTGTGAAAAAGAAATAGAAGAACATTTGTTAGCTACATCTGTGAACAAAAAAATAGTATATGGACTGTGCATGCAAAAGAAATAGAGCAGTTAATTAAAAAACTTACCTTTTATATTTTACACTGTATACCGAGTCATGCATTTCCCTCAGGAATGAAATTCATATGCGATATCTGATAACAAATAATTCAAAAAGGTTCCATTTAAATAAAACAGGTGCCTTTAGTAACCTGCCCTTGACATTTCATGTAACAACTATTATAATTGTTTTATGAAATAAAGAATAAAAAATACAACCACCAGTTAGAGCACATTTGACGTCTAATTAGGGAGATTCAGCTCAATTGTTATGTATATTCAATGAAAATTTGCCTCAGGCACTAATGCTAATTTGTTTTAAAAATCTTTCAAGGCAAACTGTCTGGAATCCAAGGGCAAGTTGTTTCCCTTTCTCCAGGCCACAGGCCAGACCTTTCTGGGTCTGTCTCTGTTCGACTGTCCCTAGCTTTCAGCTCCAGAGTTTTCTCAAGGCTTTAAGATCACTGCTTTGCTAATAACTCCACAGATTCATAAGCTGCAGTGTATGAGGCTTGTAGCCAGACACTCAGAATACAAGTAACTTCTGCCGAGAGGAAAAGATTCAGCAATGTGGAATCATGCATTTCCCAGCTGAGCACTTTAGTTCCACTTTCAGACTGCGAATGTAGTAAATGAGATGAGAAGAGGGGGAGTGAGGAAAAGCAAAAGAGAGGCTCACTTTGCTAAATGGCCCATTTAAAACCTTTCTACCCAAGATCCCAGATCAGTGCCAGGAGCTGAGCCTGATTGCCCAAAGGGGGCTCCCTCTGTCAGCATGCCTTTACTTTGTATTCTTCAGCCAGACTGCAAGCTCACTGAATACTGCCCTGCCATACCACTGATCCTGACTCCAATGTACCATGAAGTTAGTGGAGATAGTCCTGCAGTTCACCAAGCTTTAGATATAAATCTTTATATAGGAAAGACTACTATGAATTATAGTACCATGTGCAAAGAGCAGTGGCATTGAAAGCATGCTGAATGCAAAAGTGACGTTGCATAACACACTGACAGAAGGACAGGGGTTATTTAAAAAGAAACTTGTCCACCCACTCACAAGACATTCCTTACCTACTGTCTTTTCTCACATTAATTCTAATAGGTTTTCTAGAGACACAACAATCATTTTTAAACATTTCTTGATTTCATCCATTTTTATATTGCTACTATACATAACCAAGCAATGCATGATGTGACTTCAATTGTGATGCCCAAAACCTTGTAGTTATTGAATATTGACTATATTTTTTTTTCACGATGACAGCATACAGGGTCTCCCATCTCATGTTCCTTAAAGTGGTGTGAATTTAGAGACTGAAATTATTCAAATATATTTCACACTGGTGCCATTGATGAGACAATATACTGTATAGAGCACGCATATGCTACTCACAGGTAAAGTAGGATTATGAACAAAGCCATTATTCTATCAATATCAGTCATTCTTTGGTATTAAACTTTGCTTTGTTTTACATTAAAATGTTTTTGTTTCTAAAACCATGCAACTCAGTAGCTGTGGATGCTTGTGGTGATCTACCGTAAATTCCATATTTGTATTCACTTCAGCGAACTTTGATTCCTTGTCTGCCATTACTTTACCTTGATACTATTTTTAAGGATCTACCTGAAAGTTTTAATAGCGGAGACATTACTCAGCCTGTGACAGAAACTGTGCGTATTGGGCAGACAGCAGAATGTGTGGGAGTGACGAACTCACAGCACACAGTGGCTGTCATCCACCAACAACTTCACTGCCTTAGCTGCTTATGGCCCTATACTGTACATAAGGGTAATGAGCTCACCTCCTCCATCCTGCTGCTGAGATGGTAGCTGTAGCGGAGGTTGTCTGTAAGAGCCATAGCAGTTGTGACATTAAGTGTAAGTTTAGCTGTCACACTAGCTGTGTGCGTAATTGGTTCCATAGTCATACCAGGAATTAGGTTTGCATAACAGTAGGTGTGATGTTAGTTGTAACAAACTTGTATTTATTGTTGGGACCGCTGTGGAATTAGAGCTTGCACTTGTGGCTGGAAAAACTATTTCTGCTGTTGTAAAACAAAGCTGTATATGAGATACTTTGAAACTACAAATTCCAATATTGTCAGGACAAACATAGGGCAGTTGACATTTACCTCTTCTAACAAACACTGTATTGCGTATTGCATGCTATGTTAATATGTTAAGGACAAGATGAGGTCACCAAAAGGCGCTAGCATTTCTAACTTCAACTGTCTCAAGGTCTCTGAAAGAGTGTGGCAGATCCAAATACTTACAGTAGTTCAGTAAATCCTAATGAATGTGATATAGAGACAGTACGTATTAGAGGATATTTATCATACAATAACTTACATAACTGAGGGAACAGCATCCTCCCCATGAGGCCGTGATCAAACCCTGCCTCACTTCTGTGAGAAATGAGCAAGGGATTAAGATGAGTTGGAGGAATGGGTGCAAGAGAGATGTGCAAAGGCAAGCTCAGTAGGCGTGATAAAAATACATAGGAGAGCAGAAGTGGACAAGATTAGGACAGTCCTAATGGACTTTTTAAAAAGATGCTCTGGACAGATGTTTCCTCCAGAGCATCTTTTAAAAAGTCCATTAGGCGACACCCATAACTCTCAGAAATTAAGTGGTTTCTTGCTAAACTCTAACTGTTTATGAAGAACAATGGCTGTTAAATGATGTTAAATGATAAAATTGATGAAGGAAGTAGTCAGATACAACTGCAAGACTTGAATATTTAAAGAGGTCTTAGACTGAGCTTTAATTCTACAATCCACAATCTGGACTTACTTTTATTTTCCATATAACATAGCAGAAATAAAAACACGGGCACAGAAATGTCTCCGAATGTTTTACTGGACGCCCTGAGTCACTTTCTGTAGCTGTCTCACTAGGGATGTTGGTACAATGGAGTATACGATAATGATTAGTTTAATCTTATCCCTGTAGTCTGCTTACATAGTGTGTCTGATACAGCCTAATTTCCCCTGTTTTGGGTAATGACCCACTTTAATTAGGGGTGCTTAAATATATTTTCACTTGATCAAATTTGTTCACTTTATAACTCTTTTTTTAATATTCAGAGTAGACATTTAAAAATGTTCACATTACATTGATACATTATATGTGGCTTTAAGCTTTTTTTCTGGATTTAGAATAATTAACAGATTTGTTTCGCGTGTATTGGAATAACCTGTATGAGGAGAAACCTTGCAGTGTAAGCAGCTTCAGCTAGACCTCTCTTCACAATTCCCAGCCTGTTTTTATACAGCTGTGTGTGATGCAGTGGAGAGTGTAAAGGATTAAGAAAGAGCTAGCTAATTTGAGGATTGGATTCGGTTTTCTCTGTCTAATTCGCCGTGTTCTATCTTCTCTCTCCCCGTGTAGCTCCTCTCTGCTTGGATCGTGGTCTGGCAGAGGATGCAGAGCGGTCCCAGTCGATTCATTCAGAACTAAATGTGTCTGTGACAGACTCTCTACCTTCGCCATTTTAGCACGGCTAAATCCTGATATGGTAAGTCGAACACTTCCATTTCTTTCAACCCTACTAGCGTAGCTTTTGTTTAATTTAAAAACGAAAAATATCGTTTGTGTCATTCTGTATCAACAGATCATTCTAGCTCGCTTGCTCTCAGTCTCTCTCGCCAGCGTGTCAGTGGTATTCAGCAATATCTTAATTTCATGTCAGTTTATGTGATGTGTTGCAAATAGGTGAAGAACACTTTATAGATTCCTTGACTGATAAAATGTCGTCCATTTCATAGTTATTTCATTACTGATCTTGTAACCATAATAAAGGTTGCTCGTCCAGTTTTAAAGCAACAAGCTTGATTATCGTGTTGCTGTTGATTAATCTAGATTTGATTAGCATACATTATCAAAAGCATGGAATAAAGATACGGTACGCAATTGTGCTATGGCAACAAAATGAGGTTTGCATTCGCGGGGTTTTGGTTGATATGCATTTAAATAAAAAAAAACATTTTCTGCAACGTCGTTTTATTTTTATTTTTATACAGTACAAACTGCAAAGCAGTTGAAAGCGAACCCTTTTCGACGTGTACATAATTTGTCTCCATAAGTAATAAAAAAAGAGTTTTTATCTTCACACGAAGGTTATCCTAAAAATTAAGTACTTGCAGGTTTCTTCAAATGTATTTTTTATAAAAGGCCATGCTCTCCTAATACTTATATGCATTGGATACACACTGTTTAAATTGGGGATGTGAAGGTTAATACCAGGCATTTTTCTGTATTTCTGTAGAAAAGGGCAGTGTCTTTGTGCAAAATTTTCATTGAGTAAGATTGGTTATTATTAGAGTGGAAACTGCCTCTAAAGCATTTTGTTCACTAGTTGCCCTGGTAACAACATCTGCACTGGAGGCTCTTAAAGCTATAGAAGACGGTATAACAGGGCCTTTTGTGTGGGTTGGCCCAGATAGTGGGAAAAGGAGAAAAAAATAACCTCAAACCCCTCCTGGCCAGCTACTGACGGAGTGAGAATCTTTTCCACTTTCTGGATTTTATGATTGCCTGCTACTTGCACTTGCTGCATCAAACCTGATGGTTATTTTATGTGATTGAGTTTAACTAGTAAAGCTTATGTGTATTAATAAAGCAAATGTCTAATAAATAATCAATATAAAATGCTACACTAAGATAAATATTGCTTTCAGATTGAATGTTGGTTTTCTTCTGTAAATGCTACATTAACATCCCTGTTTGCAATTAATTTAGGCTATAAATCTGTATTCTACAAAATATTTGATACTGTAGTAAGCTTTTCTGAAATATATCCTTGTGGTGCTGAATTAAGGTTCATCATTAGGTTACACTGAACACTGTGCCTTGTTTGCATTAGAGCAGATTCTGCTGTTTTAATTTTGGTCTGTTGCAACCCCACTGTCAATGAAAATGCATTACATTCTGAGTTTCTGTTCTTTTCTACCTGGACAGATGTGCTGTGTTTTTCAGCTCAGTGCAGTGTTTTGTCAGCTGCATGTATATTTTTGGTGATGTGATTGTTTCCTTTTCGCCAGTTTGCCAAATTAGAAGGACAGATGAAATGCCCTTGTGTCTGTAGGCTCCAGGCACAGTGATAATAATTTCTCTTGCAGTTGCCAATATCTGAACATTTTCTGTCCAGCAGCCATGTCTGCAGCTAGTCTTGAACAGCCTGTGAATAGCAAAGAAGCTAACCAATGAGAGACAGACATCTGGTTGCCAAGCAGACATTTTCACTCTCGCTAATGTACCTTCTACACTTCTTGAATGCCACTCACTGCAAAATGATGGGCTGTAGAAAAAGAAAAAAAGGCAATCATTTTAAACAATCATTCCTGATTTCTGTAGATTTAACTCCAAAAAGAAACTGAGACTGGTAACTGACAAACACCACACCTGCCATCCAAAATGTTAATGATAAGCTCCATAGAAATATGTGGTACACAAGGGAGAATGACGGCCATACTATAGGCTGCCATACTAGAGATCATGAATAGGGATATTTCAAGAAACACCTAAATACTTCTTATCTCAAGATTCAGATGGCACTGAGGGCTCTTCTGGAATCACTTTTTTATTGAATTCTGTGCCAGTGATGCAGTTGGAGAGATTTAGATGCAAAGCTGTTGCACTGATTTTGTAGACAGCTGCTGGCTGTGCTGTCTATTGGTTTGGGCCAACTGTGCCCCTGACCGCAAAATGGGTTTTAGCCTGTTCAAACAGTTGTACAATTTCTGGTGGACAGGACAATCAAAATTTTTGTACAATGTAAATTACCTAAATGTATGCACTTCTGTGTTATGACAACATTGTCTCACATTGCTTTACTTTCCAGTCCTTCTACAAAATCAAAAATAGATAAGGTTGTTCAATAATGCTTCAGAATAGACCTCTTCTCACAATTTTTTTAGTTTAATTAAACCATTTAAAAGTAGCTTTAGCAATATTTTGAACATATTACACAATTAAATGCGAACATATTGACACTTATGTTACTGTTGTTGTTAGTTACTAAGGTAAATTAATATGCAGTCTTTGTCTTCTCTCTGGTGCACTAAATATTAAAGTATTATTAACAACTGAATGCCTGCTTAAATCGTGATACTTTGGTTTATGCATAAACCTACAGTTTGTAGATTTGGAATTATGAACATGCATGAAGGATCTGATGCTATTAAACACAAATCCATATTCCAGTTTCAGTGGGATTTGGAGCTAAATTGGCACTTGCAATATTGGCATAGCAATCTTGCTATGCCAGATATGCCAGTTATGAACACTGTAGCCAAACAGTGTTCATACCTCTGTCTGCTGATTTGAACACAGCAGTATTTATTCATCTAAGACCATGAATCTTTTAAACTGTAATGGATTTGTTTTTGCATCTGAATGTAAATGGTCTTTCTATACCATCTTGTCCCAATGTCTGTCTCAAGACATCACTTAACCAAAACGAAATAAGTTTGTGCTTTTATATTGGATATTTCTGATTGATATGTACTGTATACTTGCTTAAATCTGGGTCCTGTTGAACTACACACAGCTCCAGAGTTGGGATGTGAAATATTCAAATGGGTTTTAATTAATGGTATTCTTATTATACTGTTTAGTTTTCCTGCATTACATGATTATCACTTTATGAGTATCTTGCATTTTATAATCGGACAGCACTGTTTCTGGAATGTCAAGATTAAATATTCATAATCCATTGTGTGGTAGCAGTTAACGTTTGTCAATTTCCCCTGTGTTCCATTCCAGTGCACTTTTAATCACAGTCTCCTTGCTTTTTGTGGGACTGCTGTAGTGCAGGTTAATCAAATGAATTTAATTAACTTGGCCCAGTATAAGAATCAAACCTGGAGACAAGGCGTGCTATAAACTGTACCAATTATCTCCTCAGTGAGGCTTGGGTAGGGAGCATTTCATTATCAGGCCTCCTGTACATTCATAGTAAAGCTACAGTAAAGAGTACACACAGCTGTACTGTGAGCTCAAACAGTTCTATCCTTGGTCTGTACTGGAAGGTTCCAGGCCAGTGGGCATGTTAAAGGCAAGATGGTGCCTGTGGTGCAAGCAGAGACTAACATGCTAAGAATAACATCCTAATAAGCCCCAGTTGACTGTACTTGCATACTTTTATCAAAAACCTTAAGCAAGTATAAGAAAGGGAATATATTTTGTTTAGTGTAGGCAGCCAAAGTTTCTTAATTTTAGTTGTATTTTGTTTATTTAATAAATTTTTCTTTAATTTGGGAATTAGTATCCACATTTGTGTCCATCATGACATTTTGAGTCATTCATTTTGCCTGATGGTTTTTGTTTTTTGTTTTAAAGAAAAAAAAATAGAGAGACTGGAAAAGAAAGCAGAGTCCTGAGATATTGAAAAGCTTTTCTTGTTCATTCATAACCTCCCAAGAAGCATTATTGTTTTTGACAGTACCTGTCACTACGGTGTTGCTGCTGGAGTGTTAAACATAGTTTGCACGCAAAGAAAAGCTTGCTCAGCAGCATGTTTCACCTTCACTTGGGTGAGCATTATTATTGGCATACTAACCCGAGTTAATGGGTATCTTTAGTATAGGAGGTGCAGGTTGATTAGTGAACACCTGTCTGTCCCAGCAGGGTTGATACAGGTAATGCTGCATAGGCAGCTGCTGTCTCTAGCCTCCTCCTTGCCTCCACTATCCATCCCAGTGTGCTCAATTGAATGTCCCACTGACTCCTGCCCTAGCGAGAAACACTGCACAAATTCATAACATTAGCAGATTGATTACTGCAAACTGTCTGACAGAAGAATACATCACCATCAACAATTGTAAGCACTGCAAGGATACATCCATGGAAATGTATTGTATTAGTCTGGTAAAAAAGTATTTGTTTTTTTCAATAAACAGATTCTCTATATTAATCAGGTTTGTCAGAAAGGAGTGTTTCCATTAGAACTAATGATTGTATTTATTTTAATGTTACACTGTGCCGTTCTTTATTGGTTTGTCTTTATCTGTTATTTCCCCAGCAGTACACCTTTTACTGTCTCACCTTGAATTCACCTTGGCTGACAGTCCTAGCCCAATTATGTCATTAAGTAGGCTGGGTTTGGATTAGCAACTGCAAAAATCTGACCAGGATTTAGAGACTTCATCAAGATGTAAATTGATTTTGGAGGCTTCTCTGTCCTGTTTTCTGATGAGGCTCTTTTTCTTCTTTTTGCAGAACATGGACAAAGTCCTTCTGCCCTCGGTGACTCTGATTGTGGGCTGCGGAGTGTCCTCTCTCACTCTGCTCCTCCTCATCATCATCTATGTGTCTGTGTGGAAGTAAGAACTTCAGTTCTAAAATTCATCAAATGCCAACTTTTTTTTGAATGGCAAGAAATAAGGCTTCTATCCATCACAGGCTGATTTACTTTAGGTTTTGTCTGCTGATGGCTCTTGTGCAGACTGTACGGAACTGTACCAATGAACCTATATGCACTGTTTCACACATGCCTGTGTACCTAACATAATGTGACACATAATTGGTTATTTTCTAACTTATTCAGCTCTGGTTTTTGACACCTCCGAATTGAGACTGCTTTGTCATAAAATCCACCATGTTTCATAACAGTTTAAAAAGACAACAATCTTTCAGTATTACTGCATTCTTACAGTAACTGAGAGAACAGAACAATGAAACGTTTTTGTTTTGTACCATTAAAGGTCTCTCATTTCCCAGCAAATATAAATGTTGTATCTATTCTTTAATCAACCTTTTAGTTTAGTTCTGCCTCACTGTTCTTAATTGACAAAGCAAGATTGATTAATTTCAGCCTTAAAGATGTCCTAGTTTATGGTTCAGTAGATCTCACTTTCATAAAAAAATAACAACAACAACAGTTATGTAACACAAAGGTAATAGATCTATTTTAAAGTGTTCCTGAACATCCTTGTAACCTCACAAGAATCCCACCCCAATCTGCAGTAGAGGCATGTTGGGGTTTTGAGTGCGCAGCGATTCATTAAACCTCCTCTGTCTCTGCTACCACAGGGAAGCCTCTGCCATCTTGCAGTCCTAGTGTCTTACGTGACTGAGCAAGCAGATGAAGCCGTATCTGCTGAGAGGAATGCTTTGCATTCTGAAAAGACTGCTTGTCATTTAGAAATCAAACATTAATCTGAAAGATTTAAATTGCCATTTATTTGACAAACAGCCAAGAGCACAGTCTGCTTGCTATCTTGTAAACAGAAACACACAACAGTGTTTGCCCACCTTAATTGAGGGATAATGGAGAATAAACCTGTCCCAGTGTTCAGGTTACTGTGTGCCAGGAGTTTGGCTCTCTTGTAAGTATTTCCAGCTGGCACTACAGTAAGCTCAAGCTCTAGTCCTCTTGGCCAGGTTGAGTTTGTTTTTTCAACACTGTGCTGTGCACGTGCGATGCAGTCGCACATGGTAGCACATAATGTTACCATCCAGTAGCAATTAAATTCATTTGAGGGTTATCAATGTACCTTAGCTTCTGACTGTTGTAGTATCGTGCACTGTTATTGATGCACAAGATCTATACCTTTTTAGAGAGACAGACCCTTTAATATTACAGTCCTCTTTATTTGTTTTTGTTAGAAATGTAGACTGAAACCCATTAAGAGCAACAGAATGCCTCTTTTGCTTATTGACTTCAGCTGATTTGACTTCATTGGGAGTTTAATTGGGCTGACCTGATCCTGTGGCCTCTAGGATGTGTCCAATTGAGATTAGATATGGATAATTAATTAAGATCTCTCTAAAGCCTGGAAGGGATTAAGGAGATATGCATCAGCAGTCTGATCTGATAGTTTCAAACAACACCGAAGGAAATGACTTCCGCATGAGATTATGGGCTTGTTTTCTTAGTTTATACTGCTGAAATAAACAGCAAATAAATCAAAATAAATTTGATTTCAAAACTGAACAGATGCAATTAAAAAAAAAGATGTTAGCAATACAACAAAAGAAAACTATTCTGCAGTAAATACTTATCAAATCTTCTCTAGGTTGACCATAATACAGCAGGTCTTTCAGATCAGGGTGAATATACTGTACAAGAATAGTGTTCCATGTTATTTATTTTAAATTTAGATTCTTAATTATCATTTGTTGTTTAAGAAAAAGAAACAAAAGAATTGTGAGGTTTTGTTAATTACCATTCATCCAGGGCTATCAAAAATGGGCTGATGAGTAACTTGCTCGCATTCAGTTGTCCACAGAACAATGTCTCAGAAAGATTCTTGTGTTACAAAAGACTTGGACATTCAGTCTTCTTTAACCAGTTTGAAATTCAACAGAAATTAGATCGTTGGAATTTACATCAGAAATTAGAAAAAAATGGTAAAAGTCCTTGGGCTTTTATTGTTTTTTTTTTTATAGGTGAATGACATTGAACATATTCTTAATGAATATCACAACGTGGATTTAAACATTGAATAGAAGCATAGTTGCTATTCCTATTTACCTTCTGACTATTATTTTGATTTTTATAGGTATCGGTATCTTGGGACTCTTGTTCCCCTTAACCCACTCTCTCTACTGAGGGTGTTCCCTCCTATTGTTCAGATGGCCTTTTGTTACCCTTCCTCACTGTTGTTTTTATCCCTGTACTTGTCTTTCAGGTATATCCGTTCAGAGCGCTCAGTCATCCTAATCAACTTCTGCCTGTCTATCATATCATCCAATGCCCTAATCCTAATTGGACAAACACAGACCAGAAACAAGGTATGAGAAGCCCTCAATGTTTATTACTGCAAGACTCATAGGTGTTTGGTTCAAAATGAGACATGGCTGAGGAAATGTTCTTTATTTTCCCTCCTTGTTGTCTCTCTCTCAGTCTTAAATGCAGTGGGCATATTAAGACTCCCTCTCTGTTTCTCTCCCTCTCCAAGGTGGTGTGCACTCTGGTTGCTGCATTCCTGCACTTCTTCTTCCTGTCCTCATTCTGCTGGGTGCTGACAGAGGCATGGCAGTCCTACATGGCGGTCACAGGCCGCCTGAGAAACCGCATCATCCGCAAGCGCTTCCTCTGCTTGGGTTGGGGTGAGTCGATCTGCGCACTCCTCCTTATTTTACACATCTCCTAGGATCTCTGTCCCTGGACTGGATAAGGTTTGCCTGTGAGTGTGTCAGTACCTCAGAATAAATCAAAAATGGCCTTCACGCATGGTCCTCTGTGTTTAAGTGACTTTGCTTGATTAAAGTCAGTCCATTATTTCTGTGCTCTCTGATGAGCCAGAGAGGAGTCGTGTTTGGTGAATGCATGACAACTAAGCTACTTCCTATTTACTTATCAAAAAAACTTTCTGAATTAAGACTATTGTTTCTCCAAGCTGTTTTCAGAGCCCTTGTACACCTCTTTTTATTAATATACCACGATTAATTATCTCATAGAACCTTATTTTTCTAATTGTTTACTAGTGTCCTCTATATCATGTCTTCCAGGTCTCCCTGCTCTGGTTGTTGCTGTGTCTGTGGGATTCACCAAAGCTAAGGGATATGGCACTGTCAACTAGTGAGTCTTCATCTTACAATTTCTGCAGCATCACAGAAAATGGCTCTTTGGTTCTGAGTGGCTTTTACATGCAGTGCCATTGCAAGATATATTGAAATTGGTTTAGCACCTGTTTTTATTTCAAAATACAGAAGAAACCAGAAAATACATAATTTATTGGAGGTGTATTCATGAAGGAGCTATATATCCTTTTTGAATGAGACAGAAACTAATAACTGCTGAAAACAGTTTCAGTTTTCCATCAGATATTTGTAGACCTTATTTTTTTACATCTTTATATGTACAGTTGATTCTAGACAGGTACACTGGCAGTAAATGAAAATGCTGATATTATCTTGCTAATTTTCCTGACAAATTAATATTGCATTTATTAATAATTACACTTAAAAGTGTGAGTCTTAAATATATTTACAGAAGTATTAACCAGTAACAAAGGAGTCTTTTGGAGGAAGAAGATCCAATTACATAATCAGACAGGGAATGATTTGCAGCATAAGAGTAGTCACTGACATGTCTCTATTCATTTTAAATGACAGTATTAACTGCCAATCTTATTAGTATTGCAGTAGAATGTATGTTTCAATGTATGTAGTGTTCCTTGACTGTTTTATCTTTTTTACGTATACCCTTCTGTCTTTCTTGATTGTTTACTATCCAGTCTGTTTCCCAGGTTATCTGTATGTCTGTGGGTGTCAGACTGCAGTCTGTAAGCCTTTCTGTCTCTCTTGTAGTTGCTGGCTTTCTCTGGAAGGAGGTCTCCTTTATGCCTTCGTGGGACCAGCTGCTGCTGTCGTTTTGGTATTGCACTACATTTCAGGCTCAGTTCCTTATGCACTATCCACTATCTTTCTTTTATATAGTGATATTTTGCATTCACAGAATGAATGTTAGGTAGAATGAATAATGTTTAGTTTAGCCTGAAGATGCTAGATTGCCATCTTGTGTACCTAAGAAAAATATCACAAAAAACACATAGGTAGGAATTTGTATTTAGAGTCATGTAAAACGTATAGTAATATACTGTATAACAGTCATTTATTTGAGCAACAATATTAGTTTTGTGTTGGTTATATTTAAACAACTTGAGAAATACTTCTAATTCTGCATAAAGTCTGTGCTTTCCTGTGAATTTTATATAAACAATAATTCATCCATAGACACTCTGAATGCAGAAGACTGAAGATTAAATGCAGATGTTGGTGTTTTACCATGTCTGTTTCTGTTTTTAACAGGTGAACATGGTTATTGGGATTCTGGTTTTTAACAAACTTGTATCCAAAGATGGGATTACAGATAAGAAACTGAAGGAGCGGGCAGGGTATGCCTTATAAATACATAACCATCCATTTGTGGATTCATAACCAGCCTGTCTAAAGGGGGGAGAGAGAGAAATGGCTTTTCCACAGGCACTTCTACTGAAGAGCTTAGTGAGACTCCTATAACTAGGGCCTAATGCAGAAAGCTGTTAGGTTACTGCAGAGAGGCTGAGCGAAGGAACTGCAAGGGACAGAGTAAAGGAACTGGATGAAAGGGTGACATTTAAAATTGGCAATGAACTACATGGGAAAAAGGTGGCCATTCATAGTTTCCAAGGGAAGCGGGAAAGGGTATATTTTTAAGGTAGGGTAGACTGGACAGGAGAAGCATTGTGGGCTAGCTCATCTGAATTCAGAAACTGGGAGTATGACAGAGTAGTAGTGAGATACCACCTAAATGAGATTTGATTGAAGCAATATATTAAATATATATTTTATATATGTTCTGTTTTAGATATGTAGATAGCTGTAGGTGAAAAATAAACATAATGAGCTAGTTTAATGATGTTGCTCTTTTCTCTATATTTCCATAGTGTTTTATTTTATTTTAAGATCTAGGTACATGCAGTTGTGTACTTACTCTTTGGTTTTTCCAGAGTAAATAATTTGTGGAAAATATATAATGTTATATATTCATTGAAATAATTCATCGCAAGCTTGTATGATTCTGTAAAGATCAAGAAAGTCTGATAGTTCTACAGTATGTTTATAAGTAGCCAGTTCAAGGCTTTGGACATCAGGGACAACTGGTTATTAATCCAAATGTTTGTGTTCACCTCATTGCATCTTTTTTATGGTTTTGTATATCATATGTGCTTCTGTACATTGCTGCAGCTTTCTTTTTGCAGATGTAGCTATTGATATGTACCTGTGTATATACTGTGTTAAGATAATATCCATTTATTTTTCTTCTTTAATTGAAGGGAATCAGAAAGCCAAGAAGGGAGGCAGAAAAAAGTCACAAATTAGATAATTAACTGGGCTGCCTCAGTGCACGTGATTAATAACACTGCTAAATGGAGAACAAACTGTTAACATCTTGTTATTTGTGATTTAGATCATTTATGAACATATCGCACAACAGTATTTATAAAAAAAATGTATCTTTACAGTGTACAGTAATGTTTATGAAGCCCAAAGCTCTGTTTATCTTGAATTCTGGGCATTGATAGTTGTTTTTAAACTGTGCCAATGAGTCAGTGTGCTCCATGCAGCCATACTAGAGAAGGAATTTGTGGTATCACACTATAAATGTGTTCTGAAAGGTGTAGAGACAGTGCATGCAGTTTTTGGCCTGCTTACCCTTGATGTAAAACTGGGCTGACTCCCTCCCTGGTTTCTGTATCCCTTAGCAACCAGACAGGTCTCCACATTGGCATTTTATTGCATCCAGCTGCTCTTTATTGAAACAATGTGATGCCTCTATAATTGCCTCTGATAAATTCTATTTGTTGTTTATTTGTTGTGTTCAAATTCTGCAGCATCCCCTTGCCACAGTAAGGACCCTCACACTCAGGCAATTTGCATTCACAAGTAAACCTATTTGGTCCCCAGCTCCCCCTGTCATTCACATTGACTTTAGGGAAATTAAAAATAGAAGATTTATCTATAAGATAAATAGATGATTCTCTGTGGACTCTTAACCCTTAACCCCTACATGATAATGACGACAACAACAACAACAATAATAATAATAATAATAGAAAATCATAATAAAAATATTGGGGCAGGCTTGCATAATGAGAGAGGACAACAAATCTATTTCTAAAAAAAACATTTCCAATAGGGCACAATTTCTGAAGAGCATGACCTTTAAGGTAAATAGGTCATATTTCACTGAACTTATCTCTTTAGCAACATTTAGTTAGCAGTTAACAACTACTACACAACATTAAGTAGTTATCACAATAAATAGTAATGTTTATTTAAACCATTTTAAAAATAATGCATTTGAATCAAAATAATTTGCTCAAAGCTCCCTTTGTTTCAATACATGCTAAATATTAAGAAATGTATTTGGATTTTTCTGTTATTTGTATTAAAATACAATGGTCATTCCACATTTGAAAAACTTAAAACTTTTTGAGGATTGTCAAGCCCATTCTCCTTGTTTATAACGAGAAACCACTCCTCTGTTTCTTTGCTAGTTAGCATGGACTCTCAAATTTGTGTTTGCTTCTTTGGCCTTTCCTTTTATGAACTGTGCCACATTTTCAAAGCATCCTCAAATCTGTGAAGCTTTGACCTGCTTCTTTAAATCCCCTTGGGTATGTGTATGTGCAGATACAGCGAGATACAGATGGATATGGATTGTGAACAACTGAGTTGGATGTTAGGGGTAGGAGAGATAACACAGGACAGACAGTATGTCATCTGTGATAATCTTCTCTATCTGGGAAAGAGACAGATAGATGAAGATGATGCTGGACCTTGTAGTTTGACTGTGTGTCAGTTACCAACAATTTATCTAGAAAAGCTGGTAGATTCAATAAATGACTTGTTCAACGCCTATTGAAGAAGTAACTGGCATAGTTGGAGAAACAGAGTACGGTAGATATGTTGGGCCATGAGTAGCACTCAAGTGGGAGAACAATGAATTGAGCTAATGTTCAGTTCTGGTGGTCTGCATTTAACATCAGGATGTACTTTCCAGTGATGTGATAACAATTTGCTATGCAGTGCGATAACTGCAGGAAGTTTAATATATCTGCGAGGAGAAGTGATGATAGTTAATAGAACTCTTTTAAAACCTGTCCGGTCTTTCCTGTTCACTGGTCATGGGATCCCATTCAGATTTGTTAATTTTTCTCTCATTTGGCTCCAAGTGGTGTTCTGATTGGTAATGAATTTAATGAAACTAAATGAACTGGGCTGTTTCTCGATGGACACATTATAATATCTGTAGGACACAATCCTACGATGCCACTTGGGACTTGTTCCCAACAGTTACCATAATGTGATTCCTGAAAAAACATTCTCAACAAACAGAATCAGTTTGTGATGTAAACTTCAGTATTTGTGCTTGACAATCTGGACTTAAACATTTGCAATTAGAGCCACCCATTCCTGACATATTGATTTTTCTGCTTGTTGTCAGCCTTTAAAGCTGTAATTATCATTGTTAAGCCTTTTCTGTTGCTCTGTGCAATGACAAGTATGGGCCAATGATAAAATAAGCTCAAATGTTTAAGTGTAAATTCCTTGACACAAATTGCTCTACTTACACTGTCAGGAGAATATAGCCAGTGCATGGCAGAGCAATGAGCACTCCAACTAGCATGAGCTTTTGTCTGCGCATTTTGGGCTGGAGTGAAAAGAAAGGCTTTTTCAAATCAATATTTTTCTTTAATCAATCTATTTTAAGATAGATTTGTGCTGTTACATTTGTTAAGTCTGTACAAACAAAATGTGAAGGTGAGTAATTTTGAGAGTAGTAAATACAGTCTAGATTAGGACTGAAAGGGTTAGCCAAGCAGGTCTCATTCATTAACAAATTATACTGTAGATGGTCATAATTGTTCACTTTTATATTTCTCTCCGGACCTGTTGCTTATCATATATTGAAGTTGTATAAAGTTGAAATTTGCACTGGAATTAGTAGCGTTTTCCTTTAAAATATGTTCAGCCAGCTTTAATACAATTTTCATTTAAATATCATATTATATACTAAGCAAGACTTGAATAATAAAGAATAGATTGATATATGTTTTCTATATATCACTATATTCTCCATTTATTGATGGTTGCCTTCTTGTGTAGTTCCATAATATTTAATTCACAGAATCCATCAGGCACAAATGAGATTGTTTAGTACGATGTTATAAAATGAACTGCTTATGTATTTTAATGGCATTGCCTTCAGGAGGTAATGTATTGGTCATGTTGCCCTTCCAAAGAAATTGGAAGTTATACATATATACAGTATAAACCTATGATATGTTTTATATTAGTTGTTAAAAGCTGTATATTAATGCAGTTCTGATTGCAGTGTCAGGTTGCGGTGTAACAGGCTGTTCATACTGCAGTAGTACAGCCTTAAGGCAAGGCACTGAGATACTAAAGGGACATTATGATAAGAGCCAGCTGTTCTTCCGAGAAGTACAAAAAACAGAACATAAAGGCCTTAAGTATCTAAGCAGCGTGCTTACATTCCTAATTGAAAGCCAGAAATTAGCATCAGATAGTCAAAATAGGCATTGAAATGGATCCTGCTGGACCATAGTAAGACAGACACAGAGACAGTAGTCTTGAAATGGAGGAAGATTAAGGCATACACCTGTCCTCAGTAAATAAAAAATGATAGAGAGTACTAAGGCTTTTCATTGTGTCCTAGTCTGTTCTGAGAGAGAAGGAGACAGTCAAGGGCTAGTCCGTGATCAGTGCAATCCTATCTGTAGCTGCCTTTCAAATCCTCTAGAATACATTAGCAAGGTGAAACACAGATGCCTAGCAGCACTGCAGTACCTTTTTTTGCAGGTCAGAAGAAAAATGCCAGCTTGATAGAACTGCATTATACTGTATGACTTCTCCAGCCAACACTTATTAATGCCTAAATATTGTAATGTTATTTCCTAGATTTTAATATGGACAATAGTTGTACATTTTTTTTTTCTGTGTGTGCTTGTTTGTTGAATTTGTTTTTATATCAATGTTAGTATTTTTTTAGGTGCCAGGTTTTAACTGTGTACAGTTGACTGTAATTTACAAGTCAAAGTAACAATATATGGCAATGTATGGAGAAAGGAAAGTTTATATAGATATACTGTATACCCTATTTAAGACAAATTATGCGCTTTGTGTCACTACTCTTAGTTTCGTACTTCGACCCACAGCCCATGACTTTTGGATTGCGGATTCTTGCAATGTTTTAGTTGTCCTGTGGTTGTATTTTCTTCTATGCTCACAGGGTTTTGTGAACTCTTTGAGCCTGCACATCTTTATATGCCATCCCTAGCACTGTGGTACAGGCATTGTGTCATGTTTTCTCTAGAACCAACCCTGAGCTCCTCTGTTGTTCTGTGTATGGTAGGCACTCTCTCTTATCCCCTTTGGGATTATGGATCACCACTGGGCTGCTCCCAACGAACCTTAAATTATGGTAGAGTTTTTTCTATACCCCTACTCGTCCAAGCATGCATATCTTTTCCCATATATTGATTATCTCCTCAGCACAGGTTATGCCTCAGACTATATACTTTATGCTGCCTCCATCACAGTAGGTTTTACTTTCCAAATCCACTTTATTGCTGCTTCCCTCTCAGTAGGATTTAAGATTACAGGATGTTCTGGATAGCTGCCTCTATGCCAGTAGCTCTTACGTGCTATGTGTTCCTTAATTTCTCATCTCTTGGGGGTGCTCTTGCAAATCTCATTTTTTCTTCCCTTCTGGGATTGACTCTTCTCCTGAGTTCCCTTCTTCAGCAGATATCTTCTGTAGATCTCCAGGCAGACCCAATAACTACAATTGAAATCCTCTCTGGGATTATTGCCTTTGTCCCGGTACACCCTCTTTTGTGGAAGAGACCTCTTTTTCTCTTCCTTTCCCCCATTTGTTTTAGGGGTTTGGAGAAAGGAAAAGACTCCACCTTTCACTCCTATCTGGGGCTGTGGAGTACTGGTATCTGACTGGCAGAGTTCTTTATTTCTGTCAGGCTTCTGCACAATCCTAGAGCTGACTGCCTTCTTTCTTTCACCTGTGCTCCTTCGAAGGGTACTTCAGGAACTCTTCCATCGGAGTTGGCTCCTTTCAGGCAGTACTTCCATCCATCAGAGCTAGTCCTGAGAGTGGCCATTCTTTCATCTTTTGCAAAACCCCTCCATCAGCAGTGGTTTAGGGCACGGCCGCTTCATTTTGGCATTACCTTCCTCGGTCAGCACTGATTCTGGGAATGATCATCCTGTTCTCTAGTGGAACATTTGATGTATTTCTCCTGCTGATCCCTAGAGCAGACAGCTGCACTCTTCTCAGAACTGTTCCTTTGTATACCTTCCTAGTGGCCACATACCTGCAGCTAATTTCATGTGAGTATTCTTCACTTAAGGTTTTTATTCTTACGTAAAATGGCACAGTGCTACCTGTATCTGAGCCTCTTGCAATTTAGGGAGGTGTTTTTCCACCATGCCCAACGTTCTGCAATATGTACAACTCAGGATTTCCAAAAGATTATGTTTTAGATATAGTAAAATTAAACGAATGCCAAATCGCTCAATTTTCTTTCTGTGACTGATGCTGACACGCACTTATTCCTGTGACTTCTCATCATGCAATAGTTATTTTGCTGCGCTCAGTGTCCAGGCTTGCATTAGAAATAACATGACCTTGCAATTTCTGTTTTAAAAGCCCTAAGTAGCACAGTAAGTACTTGGCTAAAATGTCTTAGCTTTAAATACAATGGTTCTGAGACAAATTAAATGTCAGTTAAGTAACAAGATTGTAAACAGGGGTATCAGGAGGCTATAAATTATCCAGGACACAATGCCAAGCTTCTGCATTTTAAAATGCGTATATGACTGTGGTCTTTTGTAAAAGAAATCACTGAATGACCAGCGGTCCCTGCTCCTGGACTTCTCAGCATATTTAGGAATGTAAAGGATTTGGGGTGACATGAACTGGAAAGCTACAGTTTGGATGCCAGCCCACTTTGCTGACAGATTTTCTTTACCATATTTCTTGCAGAACACAAATAGTATTGAGGAACTTTTGTTATGTCGAGATCTAGAATCAACATACAGTATTGTACATGGCAGAACATGTCCCAAAGTCATTAATGACATCACCCTCTCTGCTCTTAGTATGGAAATTGCATTCTATTTCCAATTGAGACTTCATAAGGGGCCAAGCTCGGACCAATTCTAATTTGGGTTGATAATGATGGGTCCAAACACAAGGAAGCCATCTTTAAAAAATCAAAGCATTTTTATTACTTTTGTAGCTATTCTAGTTTTATTAGAGTAATTAATCAGCTTTTTTAATGAAGTAACTGTTTTGTGTACACAGGTTAAAATGAATACCAACGTTTTTATTTTTAATAAATTAATGTCATATGCAACAGCCTTTGGATTGCTGAAACTGCTAATTCTTAAAAAGTTTAACAGCATACTGTATGTTCCGTACAGTACATGAAGGGATAGATATTGGATAAGGGTCAAAGCTGACTAAATATAACACCATGTTGAAAATATAACTTCAGGAACACAGTACTGTATGTCTTTTCAAAAAGGAAGCAGTTTTTATTTGTAATTTGTTTTGTGAAACAAAATATAAATATAATAGCAACATTTTTTTTGGAGATTATTGTATTTTAACTAAATGTATTTTGTTTATGAGTAAAATAATTTTAGGACAAAGGAACTTTATTTACTGCACTTAAATATAATTTTATGTGCTTAATTTCTTAATGAATGTTCTTAAAGAGTGTTTAGAAATGTAATTATACAAATTAATTTCAGTGCTTCCAGAAGGTACTCAGAAAGTAACAGAGCATCACTCTGCATTAAGTTAAGATAGTCTTGAAAAATTAAAGATGTTAACTAACTAGTGAAAGATCAATAAGGCTTCATGGTAAAAATACTCAGACCTCTTTATCAAAACTAAATACACACATAGTTATAATATAAAACCAACACAGAATGAGTTGTAACTTAAAAAGAAATTCTGAAAGGTTGAACTTTTATCTATTATCTATTTCAAATGAATATATTAATTTATAATTTTAGTAATGCTTAGGTTTTTTTTAGATTTCTTTAGATTTTTTCATAGCTTAGATTCTGGAATAACCACAATCATCTTTTCAGAATTCACTAAGGATCATATCTTCCTTTGGATACCAGTCAGAGCTCCCTCTCTCTACAGAGCAGTGGTTTGCCTTACAGTTGTCAATATTGTAGTCCAGATGAACACACCACTATTCTCTATGCAATGCCTGCCCCCCCCCCCTCCAGATACACCATCCCCTTTCTGACTCCTCCCCCTGCCCTGAGTGAAGGCCCTTCATAGGAAAGGGGATACTGCAGCAGCTGTGTTTGGTGGCTGGCTCTGTGTGTTTCAGTGTGTTGATTTGAATTGCAGTCAGATGACAGTGCCTCTGTACAGTATGACGCTCAAATGTGCCAAGTGCGGAGTAATCTCGTCGGCTGACGTTTCCACCACAGCCACCAGTAACGCCATGTTAGTCCCGCTAATTATTTCAAACTATTATTCTGATGCTTTATTTTTTACAAATTTCCTTTTTTTTCTGTCTTTTTTCTTCACTTTTTTGTAAAGATTTTTATTACTTTCCTTTCATTTTTTTCACATACCCGTTGTGCTTTTCTAGCAGGCTAGTTGTTGCAGTAGAAGTATGAAGAAGCACAGCACATGCTGTTCATACTGTCTCAATGTGGTGCACTGCAACTGAGCGATTGCGAAAGGCATGCAGTAAGCAGCAGACTACCAAAATGCCAATTGCAGCAGTAATGCAAATTTATTCACAAATGCAGTTCTTTATGCTTGAAAGCATTCAGGGTTCCATGGCAGTACAACTGTCATATAGTGCCTTTTGATACACTTTTTTTACAGTTTGTTTTTGTCAAGCATGTTTATACAGGAAAGCCAGAAGAGTTTGCATGTTTTTTTATACGCCTTAGTGAGTTCTGGGGTGGTTTGAGCTTTTAGTTAAGCAAGACAGCAACAAATGGTAGTATTATGTTTTGGTGCTCTGGGAGGAGAAGTCCCCAAGGCTAGAGGCATCAGCTTGACAAAAAGTAAAGAAAAGCAGTGTTAATGCTTTTGATGTTTATTGAAACCCCAGGTGGGTTTTACTTTCCCACCTTCCAGTGCTATGCTAGTGTCAGTACAGTTCCATATTATGACTAGCTGGAGTGAAGATAATTGCTTTAACCTTGTAGTAAATTTCTACAATACCCCCATTATCTGGAAAATACAGTATATTGCTTAGCATCATTTGATATTGGCACTAACAGTAAAAAAAATATGATTATGCATATCAGTAACTGAAAGACACTGATCAGCTCAAGTCTGTTGGTAGACGTACTGTAGTAGTATTATTGTTTGAGATCTCAGGATAATCACAGTTAACTGTTATTTTCAGTTGCATAAAATATATACTGTATACATACTGTAGGTATTGAAAACACTGTTTTCAAGACCCCTGTATTCTTTCTAAGCTAGATGTTTACATAGTTATACACATAGGTGTGTTGCAGTTTTTTTTCTTTAAAGCAAAAAAAAAGAAATTGCGTCATTAGTGAGTTACTTTTAGAGTCAGAGATGGCAGCTGTATTTTCCCTCAACAGCGAAATAGCTTATTCAGAAAAAAATCAATTTACATTCCTTTAATTGTGTTTAGTACCTATTGATGTCTTCTTATCATTAGTCATTTGTCTAGTCATGAGTTCCTTTGTCTTTGAAGTACAATAGCTGTAAAGGGAACAGATTAGAGCTGTATCCTTGCTGGTATGAGGTGATAAAAAAGAAAAGATGCCCTTTTTCAGATCTTTCATTTTAAAAATAAGTACAATTGGACTATAAATCATTGTATTACTGATACAGCTAGAATAGGTTTTCTTTGGTCTTATTTATTCATTGAGTCATAAGACCACAAAATTATACAGTAGACACGTGACTTGCTGTCTTCTAACCAGGCTCAACAACTTTAATTACTTTTGTTAATTTATTAATTGGGCAGTCAATCTCTCAAAAAAAGCTTTAAAGAGACCAAAGCCACCAGCTTTTGTTTTGCCTGCTTTGCACATATTTTTCTTTACCTTATCAGACTATATGTGCATGGCCAGATTTGCCAGAAACTAATTTAATCTTGAAAATTGACCTCTAAAATTCTGTTCATCTCAGACGCGATGTACTCAGACAAGTGACCTGCTCTTCCAAAGCCAGTGAAGGTACTTGAGATGAGCACATTCTTGTTTCCCCTTTGTGGTACCGAAAAGGACATTTCTGTTGATGGACTATATGAGCCATGATAACCCCTAACACACTGCCTGCAGTTCTGCAGCTTTTTTGTAAGTGGGTTTTGTTCAATGAGGGACACAGCTTGAAATGTTTGGTAGTAATCTGATTTTCTTTGGTCCCTGTTTTTGTCTCTGCTTGATGCTCTCCAGTAGTGGAGAACACAAGCAGAATATGTTGGCATCTTTGATAGATTGAATTCTTAATTGAGGACCTCAAACTCTACCGTATACAGAATTCTCTGGATGCTGGTGCTACCTTCCCTATGTTTAGGTGAACAGGCAATTGGTCTTGCACTGAGCATATTGAAAAGACCCTGTTTCAAGTTCCACTTTTTATTGGCAATAATTAAAAAGACTAGAACCGGCAATAGCCAGACACTATTTTTATCATCAAATATATTCTATTGATTTAGTGGCTGAAATTACACTCTACACACTTGAATAAAGGAGCTTTTAGAGGAAATATTTTACGGTCATTCAGTTGTCACAGATGCAGTTTAGTACTCTGGACCAGATGCATTGAAGATGCCAGATTTGAAATTATATGATAGGCGTCTTTAAGGAATTAAGAGCATCAGGCATAGGAAGGTTCTAGTTCTGAAACATCTCTAATGCTGTAAAGTTAATGTCATGCTTTAAAATTTTGATTTGGTGTGGATAAGGATAGATATCCGTGCTCTTCAAACACTGAAGCCAACCTCTCTGTCTGGTCTCCCATTGCTCATATTGTGCAGTGATGAGAGAAGGCTTTACAGCCAAGAGAATATCTAGTAAATTACTTTTATTGTTTTAATTTTCCAAATTTTATTGTCTAACATTTTGTACAAAATGTATATCAAGGTAATTACACTGTAGTTTCCAGTGACAGAACTATTAACTTTCTGCTTGTGATGTCACAATAACACTGCAAGCACTGAAACACAAAGGAAGCTTTAATTCACTTTCAATATTCAGATTGGAAGTTTTACATCTCCAGTCTAATATGTAGTATTTGTTTTTGATAACCGAGTATTCATTCTGAAAGTTGTGTATTTATTATTGTCTATTTTTTATAGTCCTCTTTGACAATAGAGATAAAGAGGTGATATAAATGGCATACAATGTCCCAGTCCTGATATCTGAACATAGATAGCAAAATCACAAAAAATGTGAAATAAATGTGCGTTATAAAAGTACTTCTTTAGCATGAAATTTAACACTGCCAACATGAAAACCTTTCCAACTTAGTACAGAGTGTGGCTTTCTTGAGGGTTAACATAATCAGCCTTTGGATAGACTGTGGATTCTACAGAGGTTCCACACCAGGTTCCTATTTCTCTCTAGTTAGCTAGTGAAAGTTGTCTTTTGTTAATGACATTGGAGTCCAATCTTGGTCCCACAGACGTCCTATCATTCTCTTTACCGTCACTTCAGATGTTCCCAGACCATCAATGTGCCTTTTGAGCAGCTTCTGAGCATGTAGTTTATTTGCATGCAGATGGTAGGCTACAGTCATTTTGCGGTTTTGCTGGTCATATCTTTTTGGAAATGTCTGCCCTGTAGTCCTGCAGTATGACAACGATCCACAGTTTGAGGATGTAGTGTGTCCCTCAGAGAGCAGGCTTTTTGGTATCTCTAGACTTGTCTGCTGATTGTTGAAGCAGAACATCTTCTCCAGGTGAGATCTCACAAACATGCCACCTTTTATCATGCTGATCACAACCAAGTGATTTTTATATCTCAGTGCTGTTCTCGCATTAATTTAGATTACTGTATGTCTTTTTCAATGGCTGTTTGTACAGATTCTTAATTGAATCGTTTTAGTAATTTTAACTCAACTAAGATATTGTACCAAATCCTGAAAGCCTGGCAGTTTTATAAATCACATACAGTAACTTGAACTCAGTGTTTTGTTATCCAATATAAAATACTACTCACAAAAATACACAAACTTATGTAATATTTAAAATTGAAATGCGGTATAACAGTTGTGCCCAAGAAGTACTGATAAGAGACTGTTAGAATTGCTATTGTGTCAATGTACAGAACTGTATACTGCATATAACTTCTGATAAATTACTATAATTTAAGAACTCATTATAGTAATATTAACTTTTCAGTAATATTTTCAGCAATAGTTCTTTCAGTAATATTAACTTTTTTTGTGAATCAAGGAAAGGGTGTATTATTGTAGAAAAACCTTTTTATACATTTTCCATATATAGTCTTTTGTATGAAGTGAAGATTCAAACATTCTTTCAGGCACAGGAATTATAGTTGAAATGAATCATCAAAACTGTTCGCTAGATAGAAATTCACTTGTATTTTTCATTTTGGCTATGATGGACAAATTAATACATTTTGGCACTTGTGTTGTTGATTTAGAACTGTCCCAAATCAGTTTTACTCTTGTTAGGTCAGCTCCCAGGAGACACTAGTCCACATTACAAAACCGTCATCCAGTCTGGCACAATGTGACTAGGTTAAGAGGGGATCCTGTTTGCAGAATGCTTAAAATGTTATAATGAGGACAATCAGTGCTTAGCTCTGTGAGGGAGTTTGGATTATTAGGTTAATATTGATCTTGTATCTGATTGAAGACAAACTTGGAGACCATAGCAACAATTCAAAAACAAGGAAAATTTAGCTGATTGTATGTCTGTCTTTGTGGATAGCTCAGTTCAACCTTCAGACATCCTCTTCAGCTTATCGCTATCAGATGGCAGTGTGATTTGAGAAGAGGCTATTAAATGCTTGTTAAAATAATTCCTCATAGTTCACCATCATAAAAAATCTGTCCTTTCGGGATTAGTATACCATGTCTAGTCGTTTGTAATAATTTATTGCTGTTGTAAATGTAATGGATTTCATTTTGTTGAACCACCCTTTATGACTGGTCTGCCTTGTAAAACAGATTTTAATCTCAACCCGACTGACCAGATAATTAGCTTCTAAATAAAACATATTTTTTCAGCATTTATAATGGGGAATGTTCAATTAATTTTTAAATTTGAAAAAATGAATGAATGGGCCCAATAACATGTCAAAGTAGGTGAGTAAATATTCATTGATGCTATGTGAGTTTTCCCTCCATATTCTTCAAGTAGAGGTCTAAGAAATAAGTTAAAGCTAAAGATCAATATTTTCTGCTAATAACAGGTAATTGCTAGGGCATGGAAAATGTACTGAGAATGCAGCAAGACAAACAAAGTTTCTACCAGAAATTGCTGTACTGCTTAATCAAGTACGAGACTCAAACCAACAAAAAAATAATAAAACTATTATAAAACCTGATATTAATGCAGGATCTTGTATTTGCAAGCAATACTTCTGTTACAAATGTTAGAGAGTCATTGAAACCCATTTCAAAGGACAGTAAGAGCACTTGAAACAGAACAACAAAGGTGATTGCATGTTGTTATTGTGTGTTAATAATTACTGCAGAAGTTTTTCAGTGTGAAGTCCATATATAACACATAGAAGTCTACTTGGATTGTGTTGAAAAGAAAAAGGCTATTCTGGGTTTATACTGTGATGATCACTGTTGCAAAAGCTCTTCTTAGTTCTCTCTCTGTGCAGTGTGAGAGGGCAGGCTGTTTCTCAGGACTGTAGATGTATCCAGGAAAGAAGCCCTTTACTGTCATTGCTCTGTCTTCACTTTTTTGTTGACTTTTTGTTTTCCCACACCTGTGCTACCTGTGCTCTTTTTGATGTAAATTCTTGTTTATTTAATCAATTTTAAATGGCATTTTATTAACAAAAAGGGCAATTCTACATAGGTGAATATTTATGAAGTTATAAATTCATTTTACAGTTTGGTTTTTCCATAATCAAATATTTTGTATCACCAAATGTATCATCAAATACTATATGCATCATTTTATAATACTACATATTTTTGGAATTGTTTTACTGTTTATGCAACTACATATTGTAATTATCTGTAAATCTAATGTTAGTTTATGAACCGTAGATTGATATTTTTGAAGAATGGATTTTCACATAAAATAAAACATTTAATTCTAGTATATATTTATTAAAATAGTGTTTAAATGAAATTCAGAGTTAGTTTTAAGATTCTTTAGCCCCTTCCTTTTTAATTATTGTGGACAGTTGTTTCGTATCTCACTATAAAGGTGAACTCTTCCCCCATTTGTCAGAGTGGGTGTGTGGGTGTGTCCTTATTGCACCAAGCACCCTGCAGTGTAGTCTTGCCCTGTTTGTTCTGTTGTCTTGCCACTTTGCTGCCCAGACTGACAGAGCCACTGTTCCCTGTCTCTCCTGCAGGGCGTCGCTGTGGAGCTCCTGTGTTGTTCTGCCCCTGCTGGCCCTGACTTGGATGTCAGCGGTACTGGCCATCACAGACCGCCGCTCAGCCCTCTTCCAGATTCTCTTCGCTGTTTTTGATTCATTGGAGGGCTTTGTGATTGTCATGGTGCACTGCATCTTGCGGCGAGAGGTACGGTCACTATTACATGCTGCTGAGACGGGGAGACACTTTGCAGACTGCACAGATAGATCTGCTCTGCACGGCACACAAGATCAGTTATATGCATTGCTCAGAGACACTAAAAAGAGAAGGCTACTTGAACGCACTGAGAAGGGAATTACTTTAATAAATTGAGCAGAGCACTGGTCATTTTAAGCTAGCAGACTTAGATTTCCTGTCACCCTGTGCTGTTCAGAGGAAGACGAGGAAGACAAAAGTAGTTCTCATTGTTGCAACAGAAAAAGAACAGAGGCCTTGGCTTACTAAACTGCATAGAAAAGAAAAAAAAGATTCACAGCTCTGCATGCATTATGTGCTTTTTATGTAGTGTACATGGTTTTGTGAATAATTGCAACATAAGAACATGTTAGTGTCAATCACACCCTTATATTTAATGTGCTTCAGCAGTATTTCTCTCAAAGAAATTAGCATAATGCATATGAAAGTGCTAGGAAATTCAATGAATCCCAAGCACCACTTGACATCCCATTTCAGTTCCTGTTTGCCAGATGATATCAGACGTCTTTGTGCTATAATGTAGAAAAACAACATTCTCTGCAGCATGACCTTAGTTTGTCAGAGCAGCTCTTTTCCTCTTTGCAATGTCTTTTATTGGTGGGGCATCTCTTCCAGGCTGTATTGCAGCTGGTCATTGGGACATTTTTAGTTCCGCAGCCTGGATTTAAAATGCAGTGTGGTTTCCCATTAATTATAAAATAAGTTTATCATAGTCATGAGTCATCTACTAGTATGCCAACCTATCCAGCCTTGCTCTGCTGATGGCATCACACAGCCTTGCGTTACCTCCTGTGATCGGAGACTCTCATATGACACAACAGGAAAGGAAGCTGTCTCTGACTGACAGATTGGGAATTACAGGAGGTGTGCTCGTGTTAATTTTTTGTTTGAGTGGAGGAGTGATAATTAGTTTTGAAATAACTTTCAGAAATTGACCAACCTATTTTTTGTCTGCCTCCACCTGCTGAATAGAAAACGAAACCGACTATAGTAGAAAAACATGACATATGTGCTGTGGTGTTTTGTGTTCTGTTGTGCTTTGCATAATAGCCCTATGTTTGCTGTGTTGTGTTGTGCTTTGTGTAATGTCCCTCTGTGTGCTGCTTTTTGTTGTGCTGTGCTGTGTGTAACGTCCCTGTCTGTGTGCTGTTTTTGCAGGTGCAGGATGCCGTGAAGTGTCGTGTGGTGGATCGTCAGGATGAGGGAAATGGAGATTCTGGGGGGTCCTTTCAAAATGGACATGCACAGCTCATGGTAGGTTTAAGTGGTAGCTTGACGACTTGAAGAGTTTTTGGGATGGAAGAATAAGGGCTATATACCGGTGCTTAAACCTGGGCAGCACAGAGAGAGGTAGAGTCTGTAATAGTAGCTTGAGCTGAAGAAATAGAAGGGAGAATGTGATAAATTAACCTGGATAACAGTACTGTATATGGTTCATTTTATGGTCTGAGACCTGCAGTAAAAGCAGTAACAAGGCATTTGCCTTATTTGGAAGGCCCAGGAGTAAGGTAGTGGCCTAGTTCAGAGCTGAAAGAGGTGCTGCAGTAACATTTAATGTATTTACAGTGAATAAGATGCTTTAATATTTACTGATTAACTAAATTAATTATGGTGAATAACTTTGTTTTGACAGACGGATTTTGAGAAAGATGTCGACATGGCTTGCCGATCAGGTGAGTTTCTTTTTTGTTTCTGTACACCCTCAGTCTTTCATCAGCATTGTTATTTAATGGCTATGGGTAGCTGCTCCCCCTTACACTTCTCCAGTAGGTTGGTCCATTGTGTTTCTGCACCATGACTTCACATTCTGCAGCAGCTCCAGGCAAATCATGTCTCGCTGGCTTCCATCTTACATGTAGCTGAAAAAAGCTTCCTTTGAATTTATCCACTTGACTGTCTCCCTGGATAAAAATACACAAAGGTGCTGCATACTGTACAGGCATGTAAAATTTACTGTAAAAAAATGTTATGAATGGTGCAGGATAAATTGATTAATTTTAAAAGGTATAGAAATAAAATCGTTCTCAGGCAATGCCATGTAGATATATGTTAACTGGGTACATCTTTTCATTCCTTTTGTGTGAATCTGTTTGTTTCTGGCTTCATAACAAAACTGTCTTTAGCCAAAATACACCATTTCTGCCAGATATTAGAAAAATTAGTCATCTCAAATAATTTTCTCTGAAGTCATACAACATTTCATTCTTTTGTTGGTTTTCACTTCTCACATCTGATCAGTGTGTACATATCTATACCATGAATCATTACTTACATAACTTATTTAACTTATATAATTTATATAACCTATTTCTCTGCTGAATTACAAAACAAGGATTGTGTCAGGTATGAAGCATTCAGTAAGGTAATTTCACATCATTATATATCCTTTATATCTTTATGAAAAGAAAATCTAAACCTGAGATTAAAAGCCTCTTGCTTTTCTCTGGGCATTTAACTCCCACTGTGGTCCTTGAGCTCTTATAAAGCATACTGTTTCTGCGCATCTCAGTCAGAGATGTATCATTGTCCTGGGGAGCTGTGGCACACATGGGTCATGAAGTCAAGGTGGCAAAAAGATTTTTATCAAAGTACATCTAATTATGCTGAATGCTATTTTGACCTCTGTCCTAGGCACCCTTAAGCGGTCATCACTGCAAGGAGATGAAAAGATGGCACCCCAGCAGCTTACTCTCCAGAAAGGATCCAACTTCAATACTCTCCCAGCCAATATGACCAAAATGCACCTGCAGAATGTCGCAGACTATGCCAGCCATACCCTGACGCTGAAGAGGGACAAGAGTGGTGTGGGAAGCGAGCTGCCCAGTGCCAAGTCCATATACATCTGTGACGGGGAGCTCTTCAAGCAATTAGATGCAGACTTGACCCGCACACAGAGTGAATCCAGTGCTCCTGATGGAAGCAGCTATGTACTGTTGCCAAACAACACCTCAACTCTTCGTGCTAAACCCAAAGAAGACTCCGCCAAGTACAACATCAGCATCGAACAACTTCCACAGACTCGGCTAATTCACCTTAGCACCCCAGCAGGAGAACCAATCCCCGGCTTTGGACTGAAGACACTGCCTGCAGACAGGGTCAGTGTGTCCTGCTCTGAAAGAGACTCCCCTGTGCAGAATCTGCAGAATATCTCCAGTGAGTCCCAGATGACCAACAGCCTGTGTGACGCTGGAGACTCAGGAAATTCAGGCATGATGTCCAAGAGCGAGACGGTCTCCACTCTGTCCATGAGCTCTTTAGAGGTAAGAATCCATTTGCCTCTCATACAATTGAGCAGATATTATTGTAAAAGTGAAATATATTTTACTAATTGCAGAGGTTTTGCACCTATCTCTTCTGAATGATAGTGTTTATATATGTTTATATATGTTGTGACACATGTACATAATAGTGAGTATTTTATGATAAGTTTTTGTAGTTTATTCTTCACCAAATCCTTTGCTAAAAAGATATAGTAGAGAAGGCTGATGCTCATTTTGACACCTGACATGCATGCAAAACACTGAAACCATTAAAGATTGTATACCAGCAACCAAATGAGCATCCACTTAGATTAATTATAGTTGAAGCAGCTCTAATATTCTGTGTACAATTTCCAACCATACCTGCAGCTACTGATGTGCATGGCTTTGTTCTAGAGCAGTAAAAAAACAGCTGCTGAACAAAAATTTTGTATTTTCCCTTTGTTCATGGGGCAATGTGCATATTTTAAACAGTACTTACTAGGTGATATATACTGTTCAGTGACTAAAATCACTTGACTTCAACATAATTGCCCTTAAATACCCTACAAAATATGGATATTACATTAATCAGAAAGTGTACTTTGAGTTCCCTGTTGGGACATCATTATGTCTAATCAATTATGAAGTATTAATTGCATTGGTTGTAAACATCATTCAGAATATAAGATTCACATAAAACATTTTACATTAGATAGGGCTAGAAATTATGCTATTCATTTTCTATGGATATCCTGCCAAGTCAGTACAGTGGCACTTGGTTATCTTTGCTGCCTCACAGCACTATAGCCCTGGGGTGCTATCTGTATGGAGTTTGTATGCTCTCCTCATGTTTTCATGGGTGTCTTCCTGGTGCTCTGGTTTCTTCCCACAGTCCACAGACATACTGGTGGGTTGATTGAGTGTGTGTATGCCAGAATGGGAATCGGCTCCCCGTGACTCTGAATTGGTTAAAGCAGTTAGAAAAAAGATGTGCGGATAGATAATCTGCCTTCTTCTACACAAACTGTTCTGGCTCTGCAGCTTTTGCTCTTGTTTTCAACAGTGCTTATTTCCCCTTCTGTGCACTGGGAGAAACAGGTTCATACAACACAAATACCTAAAGGAGTGCAAGCAGATGGCAGTGCAGATTATGAAAGATCTGTTTTTTAGACCATATGAATGCATTTAATTATTCCCAATTACATGCATTAAATGAAGATGAGCTGTGCTTTGGTGTGCCCTGAATGAAATGCTGTCAGAGTGATTCATGGAAATGAAGACCTTGTAGTAGATGAGACAAGGCCTATGATAATTAAAAGGATTCATCTGATGTTTTATGTATTACGTTTCAGAAAACAGTTCCCATTTAGAAGTTCATTAAGGTATGAGTGAGAGGTTCTATTAAAGATTTTTTTTGTATGTGACGACTATTGAATGGGGCAGATGCTTATGCAGAGGAGAAGGCATATTGTAGCTGTGCAAGAATAGTCTGAATATGCAAATGCCAGCACAGTCACAAGACACAGACCCAGGCCAAATGTTGTCTCTGATTTTTGCTACAGAGCTCTATTTCTTGTTTACTTTCTTCAGAGTATAAGTGACAATTGTCCAGGATGCACTGTTGAGTTGAGTCTTGATTTGGTTGAGTCTTCTATAATTTGTTGTCTCTTCTTTGAGATTTAAATCTCAGTGTTCATTTATTGTGAATTTCTAAACCCCTTGGGAAGTGCAAAATAACAGCCAAGTCTTGCTGCTTAAAGAGTCTATTTGAGTTTTGCAATTGCGGTTTGTTCGAAGAAAACCCCCTAGCTACAGTATACAATGTTTATGTCTATGATAACAATATCTATCTGTGGCTTTAGGTTCTTGATGCATTCTCAAAATTATTTGAGTACCAAACCCCATCAAAAAGAATCTTTAATAATTAAATTAATTATGCATAGCAGCTTTCTATTAATCGGACAAAGTAATTCACCTTTTTTGGAATTGGGATATCACTTCCTGTAATTCAAAAATCACATTATTAAATCATTATGTACATCATTGTTTTTCAAATGCAAATTTCAGACTAGATGCTGACCTGTGCGTCATCAGAATACTGAATGATTATGTAGGACTCTCTAGTAGCATTTGTCTGTATCTGACCTGTGCTGAATGTTCTGCCAGTGTTTCCCACAAAGAGCAATGACAGAAAGATCATGAAGCGAGAAAGGAATCTTCTCATTGGAATATTGATCGATTGATAGAATGTCTGGAGGCAGTACACTATAGCAAAGATTCTAATTTTAGCTGTGAAATATAATAAGGAGATTGACCACTGCACTAGTAAAACAAAATGTTGAATTAAGCAGTTTTAATCTTTTATGTTCATTACAGCCATACATTTTTCATGAGATAATGATCGTCCTGTGCAGCAGGGGAGAGCGAGAGCTTTGACTTCAGTTGGCAGTAAGACTGAACAAATTGGAAAGTAGTGAGGGACTGGGGGGACTGTGCAGAATGGTGCACAAAACTGATAAAAGGCAAAAAGACCCAGTTTGTGTTTAGTGCTGGGAGACTGGGAGTTAGTTTGAACTAGACAGTAAAACTGAGGGATAACAACGAGAGCTGAGGGACTGGAGATAAAAGTCTAAAAGATAGATGGCTTTCCTGTAGAATAAGTCACCCAACTGGTGTGTTGGATTTAATATAACAGTTATTTCAGCAGTGGAAGTTCCACATGATTTGCTCAGAGTAATTGGAAAAGTGACTTTTTTAGTACAGTTCTGAATCTCGGTCAAAGATTTGACCGTAGAAAAGTCAAGTTTCAATTGCTTTTAATTCCTACAAACAGTTCGCAGGCAATGGTCAATAAACTGTATCATAAGCTTTTGTCATATTTCCAATAAAGGCCATAGCCAAGAGACAAAACCTGCTGAGTAAATTAAATCTTTTGTGCAAAGCAGGGATATTTTGAAGAGTTGGGCAGTTATTATGATAGTTTTTTTTGTGAACTGTTTAATAGAGTACACATTATTGTTAAAACATCAATTTACCTAGGCTCCAGTCATATCTTTATATAACTAAAAACATTTATGAATGTATTGTAAAATTCTGTACAAGCACAAATTGTACAGCCTTGTGTAGTCAGTTATGTGAAGAATTCTGAAATTTGCCCTCTCACTATACAAAGATAAAAGGAAAATATACAAATACAGTCTACAAACTGAAAGCACAAAAACACAGTAGGATCTTACTGCTGTTGTATCTAAGCTGGAATATATACAGTAATTGTATTTAAAAGCATCTGTCCATCAAAATATAAAGGTTCATATACATATATACTGTACAGTATATATGCATATATGTTTTTTCATTCATGAGTATTCTTTTTGTTGCTATAGAGAGGGAGAGAAGCAGTAATCATGGGTATTTGAATGCCGCATCTAGGGATAAGACACATTATTTATGCTATAGTATAGAGTAGGGTGTTTAACATCTCATAGACTAGCTAAAATGGTGAACAATACCGGAGTGGATGAATGTAATTATGTTGTGTTCTCTGTTGAATGCTGACTGATTTCAGTTTTGATATGCCCTTAACAAATAAGACCACCTTTTTGTGCATGTTCGTGTTTAATAAATAGATTCAAAAGAATTATGTTGAATTATAGAACACTTTTCCATTCCTTCAATCTCATTCTGAATATTTCTAATTTCCTACAATCAAATCAATGCAATGATAAACAACGCTGGTGTTTATGGTAAAATGTTGAGAGCAGATTCACCCTGGACATTATCTTGGCTGATCCATTGTGAAAGATTTTACACACTACTCTTTTTTGCATACCCTCTAGGTAGTCTGATAATGTTGAGTAGACTTATAACCTTTGGTGTAGGACCACCACTTTCAATGATTAAATGGATGCCTTTGTATTTTTTAATTGTATAATGAGCAAAAATAGTCCTGGCACTTAGGCATTATAAGGGTAATTGAGGTAAGCTTTCCTGTTAAAGAGTCAGAAGACTTCAGTCAAGCCTCTTAATCAAAGAAAGCATCTAAGATCTCATTCTTGACCATGGAGATATATTTATTAAGCCTTTGTCTTATCAGGGTTCATGCAGTTAATGAGAGTGATCAGTGATGAGCTGTGAATACTAAGCTTGGGATGACATGTTGAACTGGAAAGAGTGAAGTGAGGTTAGCTAATAAAAAGCACTAAGCAGGCCATCAGTGAAGATTACTTTCTAGCAACAGGGTTTTTTTGGTCATTGAGTATGGTGGTACTGTACATCACAGGATTATTTGATTAATCAAATTCTATTTACTTAAAAATGATCAATTGGTGTTGTTTAGATGTTGTTTTTCCTCTATATCACTTGTCAGGTAATTCCAATTGTGCACCCAAGTGAAACTTGTTTTAATGAAGAAAAAAGTTTTATATAATTAGAACCAATAAATAAAACATGAAAAAACATTTGCTGTATATTAAGAATTATTTGCCTCACTTGCTAAGAGGTTCACTTCCTTTAACTTTTTCCTCAAGGTGCCGAATAATTACTTCAACTTCTTGTAGCATGTCTTCAGTTTTAGGAATGAATACTATGAGTCTTGTTCTTACCCCCTCTCAGACAACAGAACCAAGTAATTTATGTAATTGTTTCTTGCAGTTTAAGAGGAACATCATACTCATAAGGTACAAAAAGGCAATAACAGTGAGATAAGTTTCTGCCCCTAAGCAATTCATAACAAAGGTGCTTATATACTGTTTATGATGCTGAGTGGCCTGGACAATGACAATTGCTTTGTTATAAGGCAAAGTTACCACAGTAACTATGTGCCAAGAGTGCTTGCTGGTTACGTACAGCAAAACATATTGACTTTTATATTGGATTTTATGATTTTATAGTCAATACTTTAGTATTAAATTAGTAAAAGGGAACTTTTATATTACTATGACAGTTAGCTGGTTTGCAAATACCACCCAAACCAGAAATCATTATAGAAATTTATTTTGGAGACAGTTATTTTAACTTTTCTCCAAAGTACCAAGAGTAACATTTCTATTTTACTTTGCCATTTATGCCTCAGCATGCTGAATAAAAAGAGATATTCACTTAGGTAATGAATGTAAAAATGTTAATGAGGCTGTTCCTGAGCAGTGCAGTGTTGCAGTTTGCAGCTGTCTTGGCTCCTTGTGACCTTGTATTTGAAATGGGTTTGCTGCAGCTTTAAAATGCTGTCTTCAGGAAGCCAAGCATGAGTCAGGCTAATAAGACACATGAACGAGACCTCATTCTTGTTTTAAGTCTGTTGATTTACAGATTTTATGGTGTGCTAGTGATAGGAGATGGTAAAGGTTTTCCCTGGCTGTGTTTTATTCCAATTTAATGAGGCTCAAGGCTGCTGAGTTGGCGTATTCCCAAGGAAAGATACAATATAAATGCTATGCATTCCTCCATAAAGATTTACTGCTCCCTACTGGCAGAGTCAGAACATCTAGCTTCCCTAGGGAACATTGTTGTACTGCATACAGAATGTCCTCTTTTATAAGTACTCTTCTCTTCAACAGTCTTTAGAAAGTTTTTGCTCTGTGCCCCTTTTGATGTATTAAATATTTAAATTCTTCACTCATAGATATCTCAGTTTTCTTGTGTTTTTACTCATAAGTTCATGAACTGCCTAGCATTTACTTCAGGTTGAGATTGTTAAAAAATCATCATAGAATTTAACCAGGTTTCAAACACGGTGTTTAGAAAAAGTAGCACATAAACCAGCATTGGTGCTGTTCTTGAATCTACTACATTTTAATTGTTTGGTTAATGTTTAAGTGCACAGCCGGTAAATTTGCATATCCCCACAGTAACCGATTACACATTGCTCACTGTGAGCATACACAAGTACCCTGATTTCTGTATTGTTAGGCACTTTCTGTGTGAGTAGAGAGCACAGATGCAGCAGTCTTTATCCCTGTACTGATTTTACATGTAGGTAAAAGGAGCTCTTCAAAAGCAGTAGATGTGGAGAGAGAAAAAAAGTAATGTAGCAATGTTACATCTGCGAAATGAATATCCAGACAGATATAGGAACATTAAAGTGGTGTATTGCATGGGATTTGTTACCATTAGAATGATGTAAGGGCTTGCTTCCTGTTTGTTCTTTATTTATTTTGCCCTTATGAACTCAGAAATCAGCAGAGTGTTATACCTCCATCCTCACTGGCGGTACTTTACTTTATAGCATTACTGCATTAAGTGCCCTTGGCATAAAATAAAGTGTTTTATATATTAAAAACTGTTGCAGTCCACATCCTTAAACTAAGATTTTGAATCTAAATTTTCAAATGAAATAGCATTTGAGATTCAAAAACTGCCAAAAGACAGTAAACATTTTTGATAAATTCACTTACAACAAAGCTTGGGAACATTCTGGTGAATATTGGTCATTTTGAAATGCAGGTTTGACAGGGTAAGTGAGTAGAGGAATCAGTATATAAAAGACATTTTATGTACTGGAAGATATCTCCAGGCTTTCTGAAACAATAGATTTATTGTAAAATAGATGTACTGTATTATCTTTCTGAAAATGCATCTTTTTTTCTATTTCAGAGAAGAAAGTCCCGCTACGCAGAACTGGATTTTGAGGTGATTATACCATGTTTTTCACTCTTTGGTTAAATGAATTAATTTTTTCTACACTCCTACTATCTTTTTAATTGTGTGGTATCAAATACTTTAAAGATGAAGACTTAAAAAACAGGAAGACTGGAATCTTCTTAAGAAATAGAAGTGAAGTGATACTACTTATTTTAAGAAAAATGTTTATAATTAGGAGAACTATTAACAACCCAAAAGTAAGTTTTTTGTCAAAAAATTATAAATGAAAGATAAAATTGCATGCCCTAAACCAGTGGGCTCCTCTTGTCTTTGTCCCATGTAGAAGATCATGCACACACGGAAGAGACACCAGGACATGTTCCAGGATCTGAACAGGAAGCTTCAGCATGCTGAGAAAGACAGAGAGTCTCCACCTGTGGATGGCAAGGTAAGAGAATGTTCTACTGATCTCCACACTGAACTAGACAGTCCTGCTGCCCTCCATATCCATACTGTAATGTTGATAAGCCAACAAATGTAGACTGTTCTTAACAAACACGTTGTATGATCTTTGGAGGGACGTTCACCACGTAGTACAAAATTAGTTAAGAATGGACAGGGAATCTGTGCTAATATGAGAAGTCCTAGTTCACTAGTTTCATGTGAACATTTACTCAGTGAACGCTGTGTTATGTATCCTGCCATAAACTCACAGAAAGATTTTTTTTGTTTGTTTTTTTCTCTTGCACAGTCTGTCAAGAGATGGAGTGTCTCATCAGGTGGCAGTGACAAAACAAACCTCAGTGTGAGTATCTTTCACTGTCTTTCCGAATGCCAACTACACTGATAGGGCTTGTTTCCCCTTATTTCTCAACTTCCATTCTCCCTTCAGATGTGTCCTGGCAGAGTAAAATAAGCACCTGTGTCAAATATAGTGTATATAACACGGCATCTATTTGGGCTGTTGGTATAAAGATGATAAAGCTTGCCCATTAAATATTTCTCATGGGTACGGTAGAAACATATGCTCATTAAATATCTGGGACTATTCTTAAATCTCTTTCACTTTCAGACACACATGAAATATTTAATAAGCAAGCATTACTTATAGGTGTCCTGTGTTACACAGCTAAAAATGTGCATATATTATACAACATAAACAGAGTAAATTAAAAACATTAAAACATTAAGTCATCTGTTTTTCCAAAAACAATTACCAAAGTTTAATGGTGGGAATATACAGTAGCAAGTGTTCTATAGGTCTGCAAAGGGACATGAAATTATTTTTATCAGTTCATAATTGTTATTACTATATAACTAAAAAAATAGCTAGAGGTAGAGAAACATTTACTCAAATACAAATGTTTTAAAATTAAGCTTTTTTTATTTAGTATTTAACAGAGAAATATAGGAAGACTACAGCATGTTCTTTGGCTCATGTAGACTCATTTGAAATCCTTTAAACACATTTAAAAGCTGTGCAAAAACTTAGGATCAACCTCTTGGTTGGAAAGTTGCAATGCTAGTCATCTCTCAGCCCATATCAACCGATGACTTTTTCATTTTTCATCTGGTTTCCAGCAAGTACTTGTTCAAGTATCAGTGTCTGCAGAAAGTTACAGAATATTTTCTTTCCTGTTCTCTTTCCCACTGCAGGACAAACAGCAGACTCCTAGCAAGAGAGCATGGGAAGGAATACGCAAACCTCACTCCCCTCCTTCCTGGGTACGCAAAGATCTAGAGCCTCTGCAGGCCTCACCGCTGGAGCTGAAGTCAGTGGAATGGGAGAAGGCTGGAGCCACCATCCCCCTGGTAGGCCAAGAGATCATAGACCTGCAGACCGAAGTCTGAGAGACCAGGGACCAGTCACCACAACTCCTCTCCTCTTCATTTCACTTGGGTTTGAAACAGATGAACGCAGCAGAGCACATGATCAAACCGTAGAGAAAGCGGGAGGAAGCGTGTTGAATTCTTTTCTGTAATACCAGGGCAGGTATTTCTTAAAGAAATCAAAAAAAGAAAAGGAGAATTCAAAAGAAAAGCCTCCAGTTAATCTGAAAAGGATGACCTGTTCTGTGCCAGTGTGGGACATACCTCGCTCGTGATTAGGGCTTGAGAGAGCCTACCAGGCCTTTTCTGACATGTATGGAGACCGTGTGTTACTGCTGACAAGGAAGCAGGATTTCAATATCTGCTGGAGCTTGTCCAGGACTGACAATACATCTCCCAGCATTAACGGAAAGTGGAAATGTTACATGGAAAATACCCTTATCCATGGGGGAATCCTTGGACTGCAATTGTTTTGCTTTATTTTATGTTGCTGTAGATGGACACAATTCAAAAGTGACACTACTGAAGTACAGCCACCAAACTGTCAGTTCTACTTTGCCTTGAATTTTTTTTACTAGAGGCATAGTTGGTCAATATGAACTCTCTTGTAGCTGACCTACGGAGGTGTCAGAATATTATGAAGCAATCCGATTAATGAAGCAATGTGAAAATGCCTCTTTTTGTGACAGATTTCCACTAAACAGAATTATTTCCCCCTACTTATTACACCACTAAGCCCTCAACCTCATCCTCACTGATGGGAATTAAGACTGCTGGTAGCTTTATTCAAAAGAAACAATGTAAATGGGTAAAATGCAAAGTTACAAAACAAGAACAGGGTTCCAGACAGTGTTGTCCAAGCTCTTCATGAGTATCATCCAAAATGATGCTCATGTCCAGATTTTCTCAACAATTAGGAAAAGAAAGCAGCTCCATGAGAGAGCCTCTGGTTTATCTTTAAGACGTCTCTTATCCATAACCAGGTGGAGAGCCTCAACATGTCGATTCATAGAGCACTGAGCGTTGTCAATGAGCAGCTATCAGTGAGGTGGGGAGGAGGGCTGCACAGAGAAGTGAACTCTGGAACGTCTGGGCGGGTGCTGACGAAAAACAGTAGGATAAGCTGACTGTTAAAAGTTCCCCAGCCAAACCAGCCATGGCTAGTTTTTGCCTTGCAGTGCTTCAGGTTCTGATGACAGAAACTCAGACCCGCTTTCTACAGCAGGCCCAGTCCTCAACTGAGAATTCTGATCTCACTGTCTTGGGGCCAGCTGATTAAAGAAAATCTTTCTGTATAATCAACATGAATGGAAAGCAATGATCTAATGGCTGCTTGATATGCAAGCATAATGGATAGATATAATGCATAGTTAATTTTCAGAATAATGGAATATTTTTGTTATTTAAATATATACCAGTATATATATACAGCATATAGATAAGCTATTTTTTACAAAAAAATAGCTCCAAACAGTATACAGAATATTTAAGTACTTAAAAAAACAAGATTTCATATTTATAAAAACTGTGATTTAGTAGTCAGAGTTTTTGATTGCACATGATGTGAAAGCACAAGGCTCCTGGGAGCCGTGTTGTACAGTATTGTAATTATACAGTTACACAGAATGAATTTTAGCCTATAAATATCTTTATACTGTGCTTCAGGATTTTTTTTCTGAATCCTCCTGTTTGGTTACTGGACAATATCAGTGTTCTGTAACTAATGTAATGATGTGTGTTTTAATATAATTGTCAATATTCCACCCCTCTCTGTCTTCCTCCCCTCTTTTTCCTTCCTACTGCCCCTCACTTCCAACTGACAAGTTCTATTTGTCTGATACTTATTATCCTCCTTTTTATTTCTTTTGGTTTTCTTTGTTTATGTACAGTTTTCAGAGCACAAGATGAATGTGTCTTATTTCTAATAAAAATGCTATAAACTAAATGTTTGTCCTTTAGTGGTGTCTGGAACATGTCACCATATGTGAGGATACATATCCAAATTAGAATTTACTGAAAATGTCTTAATATTGTCAATGAATGATCAGCCTGTTTGATCTTGATAATATTTCCTTTTCTGCATGACTTTGCATGACATGATTCTTCAGCTGCACTGATTCCATATAACTGAACTTAACTCATTTAGGTAAATAATTTCTGTGAAGCACTTTCTTTCTGAAACAACTCACAATATTACAATATTAAGGTTTGCTGCTATGAACAAGAAGCTTTTTGAGAACAAGCTATTTACCTTCATATGATGGGCAAAAAAATGGCATGCACCTAGAAAAAAGATAAAAGAGACCGCTCACAAAAAGGTTACACATCACATGTCATAAATATGTGGATTTCATATAAGAATACAAGCCTGAAGAGGGCTCCATGGCTGAAACGTTGTGTTTTCTCTCTTCTTTCTTTCAGCCTGGAATAAACCTATTACTTGTTCCTTTGCAGCCTACGCATGGTGATGCAGCTACCTACCTGAACTCATATAAGAATATAACTCAGAAGTACAAGAGAAAAGTTAAAATCAGAAAGCTGCCTGTTCTGCTCTGAAATCTAGGATTTCTGCAAAATTCCTGTTTCCTAATTTCATAAAAAGATTCATAAAAAATACTATGGAACTAGCAGAATGCAAAACACTAGTTTGAAATTTTAACTACAGTAAAATAAAAATGTCTATCAGTGGATATAATGTAGGCTAAACTCTAGTCTGTTCTCAAATATACATTAGATTGTCAAAACATGGAATTCTGAAACACGTAATCAGACAGTTCTGATATGTTTGCAACAACATCCTATGACTCTAATCAGTCAGAAATTATAATGTTTCCAAAACAACTAAAGGTCATGCTGAAATAATACAGTAGGTGTACCCCACAAAGAACTGTGGAAATGTTCATCAAACAGACTCAAGCACAGTTTCAGTGCCATCATGGGGCAGTTTTTTTTTTATCTACTCAGGAGATGGACAGGTTTACATGAATGAAGGGAACAAATACAGACACCAGTTACTAAAACCCTGCCGTCAGCCAGTGATGGAGCACTTGTTGAACAGCTTCACACCGATAGACTGATATCTACGTGAAGCAAAACAAGAAGAGGATTTTAAGAGGAAAATGGTCAAATAGCTGGAACAACCATTGGAATTGCTTGACTTAAACCCAATTAAAACGTAACAGGTCAATCCCTAGGAAGCTGTAGCTCCTAGAAAATCAATTTGAATCCATTCCAGATTGCCTGCATCACAAAACAGAACATTTCAAAGGACAGAAGCCAACAATTCATTCAAGCTGAAAAAAATAAAATAAATTCTTAAAAGCCAAAGGTTCACAAACTTAACAATGTATGCTATTTTGTATTTTTTTTACCTCAAATTTAGCAGAGATTTTTCTTCCAGAATGTTTTGGATGGTGACAGTTCCCATTATTTGATGTATTATCTGAAGGACAGTGTGAAATATGAGTTGTGTAATGTTGGGCAGAAGTTAAAATAAAAATAAGGTGAACAGCCCTGTGAACTCTCCACCAGTTCGGGAGGAGACAGGGTGCTCAGTAATAGTCCAGAAGCAGAGGATTCTCACGCTTCTCATCACACGAAGGAAACACCTTCTTTTTAACAGGTATGTTTTGTGTAAAAAGGGGAATATTTAGTTTACCACCTTTTAACAAGGAAAACAATGTTCCCCTTCAATTCAAGCCCTGGTTTTGTTCCACTTTGATTGTAAATACTGAACCTGGCCTTCACCGAACAGGACACACAGTAGTTGATTCATTTCTATTATATATTCCTCTACCACTTATATTCTTGAAGCTGCAAACCTGATGTAAAAAAAAATGTTTAAAATTGAGTCAAATCTTTAACCCCTCCTAAAATAAAATCTATGTTCTTTTCCATCTTAAAAAAATATTCATAATCACAAAAATGTCACACTTTTACATTAAGAACAAGCCAATTTATGTATTTAACTCAAAAATACATGGACACCCATGTCAGAAACACAGGACTGGTGAAAGAATCTTACAGAAAAAAATTATCCTAGCACGAGACTGTCTCTTTGCATTTTATGCAAAGGCTGTAGTCCCTTTGCTTTTGAGAATTAAACAGACATTTTTCTGAAGAATTGCTTTAGTGTTTCATTATTTACGGGTTGTTAAGCAGATTTGTGATAAAGCACATTAGAGTGCAGTGTTAAGTGTTACTTCTGTACTTAATACCCTTGCCTTTTTTTAAAAAGCTTGCAAGACAAGCAGTTTAAGTTGAATAATCTATGTCAGAAATTAGTGGGGTTTTACAGTACATTCATAATAAAACTGAGATGAAAATAAAAATAAGTTAGAATTACCTAATCAGAAAAAAAATATATTTTTACACGGTACAAATGATTTGAAATCATACATCCATAAGACTCATACTTTACATGCACTGTTTTTCAGATAATAAATCAAATCATTAGAAAATAATGTTTATAATCCATGATTTATATTTGATTTATTTATTATATTCTAATATTTTATATTAGATTTCAATATACTACACATGTCAATATTAATACTGCATTTATATCACTTTGGCCATACAGTTTTAATTTAAAATCCCAAAGGTTGATTGGTTCTAAAGGTAGCACTAGATACTGTATATATACAAATTGGTGGATTGATGATGGAGAGTGGTATTTTAGTTTATGTCATAATATAACTGAAGGAATATGTTTTTAATATTTATCAACCTATCTTGGAACATAAAACTATCAATTATTCTTGTTAATTTTTTAAGTCTGAAATGTAGAATAATGCTGTTTAGTGAATTTTAAAATTCAGTAATCTTCAATGGTGTTTTCACTGTTAACTGCAGCTTAGAGATGCATCATCCAGACGCAATTTACAGTACGTCAAGGAGTAGGTTGATATCTTAAATAGAACATTATTCTTTTAATTTATTTAAGAAAATTTGTGGTAGATAAGGATGCCTGTGTGTCAAAAGGTACATGATGCATTTGGAAAGACTCTTTCATCAGAAATTGTTATTGTTATATACCAACTCAATTTGGAATAACCAGCTGTTTAGGGATTATGTACAGCATCGACAGACAGCTGCAGGAGGTCCAGCACTAATTGGAGGAGAGGTGTGTCCCTCAGTGAGGCCAGTGCAAGCCAAGAAAACCATAGGGTCCACTGTTTCACTGGGAGCTGAAAGATTCCTCACCAATTGAAACCCTACACGAGGCACTGCTGAGCCAGTTGTTCACCACTAATCATGTTCATTTCTGAAAAAAACAGCTGCTATACAACCGAATTATTGATCACACCACAACTGCTATTACTTAATTTCATAAACATAAAACACATACTGTAGTTAACACAGACATGAGTGAGTGTAAATGAAGAGCACTCCCTAAATGGATGATACTCACTGTTTGTTTGGTGTTGGTACTTCCGGGGTGGGTCACCCTATGGTGGCCTCAGAAGGCCAATCCTAACACCACTTCTCCAAGTTTATTTATGGAGATGGAAAAAAACACATGCATGTGAAGAGAGGGAAATGTTATTGTTTGTATTGTCTATTTGGACCAGGATAAAAAGAACCGTGTTTTTAAGATATGTGATGTTCTTTGGTAAGAAAGGAATTAATTATGAATGTATAATTTGGGAATTGGAGAAATGGTTTGTTCCAGAGGGGGAGGGGCTTACATGCTTTTTAAGCTGTCTCCTCAGCCTAAGAGGGAGGAGAAGTTGTTGGTGGTCGGTGAGTCAGGTAGTGTGACTTAAATCAGAGAGAAAGAAATAAGAAAAGGAGAATGTCTTTGTTTGAAGAATTAATTTTGTTCCTTTTTGGGTTTTTGTTTTTCTGGTGTGGGGGACTGGAAGCACTGTAAATAAACTGCACTTATTTTATTTGAGTGCTTTGCAGTGGAGCTATTCTTTTATAAAACAGGCCTACTTTGGCCTTCCTCAGTCCATTGTGTGATAAGGGACAATGTAGTGGTGGAGAAAAAATGCAACGATGCATTTCTGTGGGGGGCTAATTTTGCTGGGGGCATGTACATTATAGATTGGTGGCTCTGTTGTAAAAAACATTATGCTCTGTAGAACCACCGTTTAAAAACCTGATTACACTAAGTGGCGTTCACAACATTTTTGGCACTGATGTGCCAGGTAAAAGGAGATGATTTCTGGGCATCACAGTCTGGCACTGTATGTGAATAACATTCATACCCAAGCTTCAGTCTCTTGTTTAACATAGTTGTTTATCTTTCCCATTTCTTCACCCTAGGTTACAGAACAATTCCTCATTAAGCACGTACTTTGCTAAACATTGCATAAACAGAGCATAGTCAGTGCACAGAGGTAAATAAAAGGTTAAAAGATTCATCATCCATAAATATTTTTTTTTCTGTTAACTTCGCATCTCAGATGTAAAATAAAAAATAAAACCTGCTATATTAA